GTACATATATTAGGGTGAACCAAAAATAAATGAATATCGAATTCGTGTTTCAAAAAACCTAAATACCAATATATAACCAGAAATATTTTGTGAATTTTTTCCCAGAATTTTTTTGCGTATTTTAAAATGTTTCGGTGAGCATTCAAAGTTTTACATATGAAAAACACGTAATAAATTTGCTTTCAAAAAAAATTCCATATGTTTTAAACCGTTTGGAATAAATTTTTATACATGGACTTCTTGTAGCCAAAAAAAATTTCCTAAACAATCTACTCCTGTGCAAGTTTTTATTTATTTAAAAAATTCGTATATTTCATACATACATATACACTTCATTCGAAAATTATTTGCGCTTTTGAAGAGTTTGCAAAAATTTACTGATTAATGAAAAAATAATAATAAATATAAAAAAATATATATCCGTGTTTATTTTTCGCGTATGTAAGGTTAGTGCGGCGACAACGTTGGGACGGCGTTTATCCAATATTTTGATTATCTTTTTATTAAACAAACAGCACTTTAACTCATGTTTATTTAACCGATTCGCGCGTTGGACATTGGACCCGGTCCACCAAATTATACTTGTACTGCTGTGCGCGAGCATGAGTGTTACGACATAGTTATAGCGCAGAAGGCAAGATCTGTCGGCGAAAGAGAAAACAAAAATGAGAAGACGAGGCAAAAGGCGAAAAACAATAACAACACATAATACTAATAATAGTAACTGTAGCGGTAGTGTTGACGATCATAGTTCATTTAAATAATATTGTTGTAGTTTTATACGCGCTTAACTGGGTTTTCATTTAGTTTCGCATTTTGTGTAATTTTGCACCTTGCCCCCGACACCTAAATCAACTGTTCAACAACGCTTGTCGTATGAGCGCAATTTTGTCAGCTTTGTCTTCGAAATATTTACATATACATATGTTTGTTATTATTATTATAGTATATACTTTAATTGCAAGTCAAATTTCATAAGTCGAAGTATGTACATACATACATCTCGAAACACTTTCTAGAATTGTTAGGCTCAAAGTGACTTTTTCATTAAAATTATGCGTTTTACTGGCTTTAACTTAATTTATGGCTGATTAATATTACAGTAAAACACAGTACAGTTAATCTGTATCTTAATCAGCAAAGAGAGAATTTAGCCAAGTCGATCACCAGATGATTTTTAGCCAAGTTCTCTACCACTAAGCTGCTTTCAATACTTGCTAGTTGTTATTTTACGGACGACACACCAGATATAAATACTCATTTGAAGCCTTGAATCCTTTCTAGTATACAGTATTCTTCGAGTTATTTCAGTTTAGATTGACTACGAAATGACTTGTATCTTTAAAACGAAAAATAATTTTTATAACCTAAACAGGGTATATTAAGTTTGCCACGAAGTTTGTAACACCCAGAAGGAATGCGAACTTGTCGCTCAGTTTTTGAAATATCGATCCGAAATTATGCATACTTTCTTTTATCCGCAAGAAGCGGCTAATTTGTCGGAACCGCCGATATCGTATCACTAAAGTAAATGTAGTTTTTATAGAGAAAACTTTTTAATTTGACAAGATATCTTCATAAAATTTATCACAGATTATTGTCTAAGACATCGGCTCAATCTTCGAACATATTATTCAGATCGAAGCACTGTATCATACAGCTGCTATACCAACCGACCGTTCATAATAAAGAAATGCACCTGTGCAGGGTGTTGTAGCTTCAGAGCAGTCGACGTTTAACGTTTTTTCTTGTTTCCATAGTACCTCTGAAGTAATGCGAAAGCGGTCCTGGGACAAGGAAAAAATCCATTATAGAAGTGGGGAGTGTTTTAGTGGGTACACCATTCACGTAGGATGACGATCCCTATATGGTGCGAAGACAATGTAAACCCTCACGGCCTAAAGAAGAATAGTATCTCAAACGTCCTTGGAACCATAACCTTTGTATAGCATGTCCCTTTTCTCAGTTTACACGCTCGAATAATGCTAAGAAATATTGAATATTACTCAATTTACACAGCGTATCCGATTATACAGTCAAATTCCATGCGCTTGAACTTTGAAATGCTTAAACTTCGAAACTTTAAACAACGTGCTCGTAAACCCTCATTGTTAGACCCATATTAGTTAAATATCACGTTATCAATGCAACACTTATAATTGCTAAGTAAATAAAGTACCTGTGTTAGACTACAACAATAACATACAAATACGTTTAATAAGAAATTTTTTTGTTTTAAAAAAATAAATAAAATAATTTGAAGTGATATGTCGTGCCAAGCCGGTGTCATGAGAGCGCTTCTGAACTTTGACTCTCTCAACTAATCACTACGATTTGCGGTATTATTTGTTTTGTTGTTGTTTTCTTTCGTTTGTTTTTGCCGTTGTTTTGCTTTTGTTTAGAAATCAGTAGCAGCATACACCACTCGGTAAACGCTTCAGGTTACAATAATTGTTTGAATGGGTTGGCCGATCGGTGGACCGCGCAAACGGCCGGGGACGGTTCAACGAATGAAACTGATTCCTTGCTTTGCACTGCGTAGCCTCTATGCGGTAGACTTTGTACCGGCAACAATTGGCAAATGACATTGAGTTTGTTAGGCCAAGTGGTGTGTGATTGAGCGTCGTCGCGGCTGGTGGGTGCGCGGGTTACGGTGAAGGCAAGTGGAGAGCGTTGCTGCTGACATTGCTAGGGCCGTCGTTGGCACGGGTGTTTAAGGATAAATAGAAATGTGATAAATTGTGGGTGTCGCATAGCAGCCGTGAAAAAATATAAGACAAAAGTGGTGATAAAGTCCAATTTGTGTTTTTTACCGTTGTATTTTTTTTTTTGTTGAGCTGTTTCTGATACTTCTACTCGCGCATCTATCAATTCAATTAGCCTCAATTGAAAGAGTGAGCGCGCTGCGTATTAAATTTTTATTACGAAAAATTTGCCACTTGTTTTACTTGTTGTTGGGGCATTCATATTGCTGCTGAATGGGCGCTGGTAGGTGGTTCAGCAAGTAAACAAAACGTCAAATTGTGTGAATTAATAAAAAAAATTAATAATAAAAGCTTGAAATAGCTTCATAACTAAATATTACGAACTGAAAATAAATTATTTGTATTAAAAATATTTTGTGAAGTAAACATGGAAAATATTAAAATTTTAAATAAAAATTAACTCTACAACGTTATTTGCAACATAAATGTCAAACGCAAATTATACTTTAACAGCTGGTTTGACAGCAAACGCGCTAGGAAATATTATATCTCCAAAAAAACACCCTATACAAACCGATTTCAGACAATTTTTTTACGTTGTCACATTAGTTTAATTCCACACCTCTAAAAACACCCTATACAAGCCGATTTCACAAATTTTTTGTATGTTACTATATTAGTTTAATTCTATATCTCTAAAAAAACACCCTTTACAAGCCGATTTCACAAACGATACTTTATTACTTGAATTCTATATCTCTAAAAAACACCCTATACGTACAAATTTCCCAGATTTGTGGTACGATATCATTTTAATTCAAGTCAATAATTAAAAAAAACACCAAAAACATATTATATTATCTCTAAAAAGCCCCCTATACAAGCCGATTTCACAAACTTTTTGTACGATATCACATTGAATTAAGTATATGTATACCTGTAAAAAACACCCTATAAAATTTGATTTACCAGATTTTTTGTATCACCCTTACAAACCGATTTCACAGATTTTTTCACGATATCCAGTTTGTTACCAATATATAACATTTAATTTTTTTATGAATTTTGAGTTTAATTTTTATATTAAGTTTCGAAAACAACTTCAGATACACGCTCACATACATATATACATATATTTAAAAATAGCTTTTGTTGTGGAGGAAGTAAGTAAATACAAACATGCGAAAAAATACCACACTGGGTAAAGTCCAACTGAATTTTTTGGCACACAAAGCGACATTATGACGGCGTGGGGGTTTGGTAGCATTCTTATTTGTGTTGTTAATATGGTAAAAGAAAAAAAGAAATCATATTTATAGCACCATTCTTCTTCGCATAAACATATGCGTAATATTTTCTTTGTTTTTACATATGATTTTTCACCGCTTTAACGATTATTATTGTGATATACATACATCTATATATATACATACATATATATTGTTTGTAATCATTTGATAAATTGCTTTTAACTTTTGTTTTGGTTTGTTAGCATATGTGTTGTTTTTGTTATTAACTGGTTTCATTGAGAACTTGTGTGTACGGTATTTGACTGTGATACGCAATATTACTCTTAATTTCCAGTTTTAATATTTTTATTTATTTATACGAAGTACATATGTAACACGCAAAAGGTAATGTCGGAAATCCTATAAAATATGGAGTATATAAATGATTACTTTTTAAAATACTGATCTCAAATTTTCCACACGTTCATTTCTTCACAAAAAGTTGCTCATTTGTCGGAACCGCCTATATCGGAGCACTATAGCATATAGCTGTCATACAAACTGACCAATCAAAATTAAGTTCTTGTATGGAAAACTTTTTTATTTGACAAGATATCTTTAGGAAATTTGACACAGATTATGGTTCAAGACAACGCTATACTCTACCAGACCGTTCAAAAACAAAAAAAAAATTTTGTACATGTTTATGCTATAAGAAATGCTAACTTTTCGGTGCTTCGGTGCAACTCAGTTTACATTTTTTACTGTTTTTATTAGATTTTAATTATCATGTCATTAAGCTAAATAGATTTAAGGGTGATTAATGTAATACAAAAAAATTTTTTTGCCAGCTTGTTGTGGTGCATTATACACAAAATCTAATTTTTCGTACATCTTTTTTATCAATGTCCTGTTACATTTCATTTAATTTACATATATTGCCACGAAAATCGCTTGTCTTCAAAGTATAAAAATAAATAAATGTTTTATATATCATTTATATGTTTTATTCATTCATTATCACACATTAGCTGTATCGTTTTTCTCTGTGTCTCTTTCGTTGCAGATCATTTTGATTGTATATCTGTATAAAGAAGCTAGAATTCAGCAATAGTAAAGCATATCTTCATAAAAATACATAATACATTGGTCCAAAGACAACAACAGCACTACATACAACAACAACAGCAGTTCAAAGTAAATAAATATTACAATAAATAAAACAAAGGGAAGGAAATAAGTGCTCCAACGCAGCAGGTGTAATAGACCGCTGGTGAATCAACCGATTCTGCATTTATTACATCACTTTCAAGCGTAAACTACTTTGCTTCCTGTCTGGCAACCATATCGATTGACATACAGACGTGCTGAAAATGTTTATCGAAGATGACGCACAGTAAGTACACACGCACTTTTTTTAATATTTGACCCATTTCACGTTCATATTTTTTTTTGTTGTACTTATTTGGTGAAACCAAGTGCATTGATATTTGTTTGCATCATTGGTGCCATGGTGGTCACGTGTTGTAGTTTTCATCCTACGATGGTGTTAATGTTTATTTTTTTTTATAATGTTTTGTTGTTTTTTGTGTGGTGAAATTAGCAACAATTTTATATACATACATAAATAATTATTGATTTCACTCAGTGGCTTCGCATGGTTATTGCTTTAACAGAATTTTTTTTAGTGATTTTTTTTTTAATTTGGCTTCTCTCTGTTCAATGCTCAAAAATATATCCTCACTGAAGTTTCGAATTAGTCAGGTTAAGCCTTAATTTGGTAGCTATCTAGTGTATTAGAAGAGCAGTACTCTGTACTTTTGTATGCCCAAAAAGCCGCTATAGGAGACCGTCGGTGCTTTTGAAAAAAGTTTCATAAATAATTTTAGAGTTACTTAACATATTTCTTAAGACAATCAGATGTAAATGATGTCTAATTACTTTTTATAAGCCTCCATTGCGTGGGATGGCCTTCAGCGAATTTTGATGTTTCGGTTTCAGCTGATTTTTGGAGCGCTATTCGTTAAATTTTCGTACAGTTTCGATGTCATATTCTTAAACCTACGTCTCGTCACCAATAATAATGCGTTTGATGAGTTTAGCGTCCTCAGTTACGTTGTCAAGCATCGCTTTTGCGACCTCTACTCTATGTCAAAAAAAAGATTTGCAAAAGATTTTTGTCATTTCATGCCAAGACTAGCCTTGACACGCTGCATACCCAAAACATTAACCAAAATGTGTTGAATCGACCCATAACAGATGCTGAGCTCTTCTGCTATCTCTCTATGATTGATAATGTCGATTTTTAAACTCTATTGTTTTAACTTTTTCGATGTTGTTGTCATTAACAGTTTTCGATGACTTTCTGACGTTCACTAAATGCTTTGACCACGCAAATACTTGTGTTTATTATTAAGTAGACTCCCCAAAACACTTCTGCAACATTTTCAACTACTCCGTAACCGTGATTTCATAGGAAACACAAGCATATCAAGCAAACTCCTTCCAGTTGTTTCTATGGTAAAAATCACCAGTTAAATCCTACGCGTCCAAAACTAACAGCTGTCCAAACACTCACTAATTGATATAATATATGCAGCTCAAACTTCACACGGATATAAGATAGGAAAAGTTATTTTATCGATTCAGTTTGCGCACGCAGTTTTAATGGACCAGTCTGAGTCAAATTTGATCAGTTGGTATTTCCGTTTAGTATCTGATTTTGTCCATTAGGTAAAATTATTTCCGGAAATAAATGTATGAGCGACATTTAAAACTCAGCTGTTAAATTATAATAATTTTGAAAATATTGAATTTCATGTAAAATATGTTAAAAATGCAACATTCTTATCGAAATCGTTTGTTTATCGATTGTAGTGTTTGCCTTTATGCCTAGAAGTACACAGCTGTTTATTAAAATGTGTATGAGTTTGCAGAATTATTTGCAATACATTTTATTAATTGAATATTTTATTGCTATTTATTATTATGTAAATTAATTTATATTCTTATATTTACCTAATTTTAGTCGCTCTAGTTTGTAGTAATTGAATTTAATGGCATAAATCATGATAATTCTAATAAATACAATGACTATCATTATTTTACCTATGGACAACTATGCGTTTGTACAAATACAACAACAAAAATAAATAACGCATTGACAGAGTCTAATTTTCGCAATCAAATAGAAACAGATTTAAGAAAATTATTGTGCCAATCACATCACGCCATATTTTGTGTGAAATCTATAAACATACATATTTCCATACATAAATAACAAACATATCTACATACATTATAAATATGTTTGTTTGTGTATCAGTTAAAAAAAAATATATTTTTCGTTTGTGCTAAGTGGTCATTATTTTTATTTCTCAAGCATTGCAACTTGAGCGACACTTCTACGCATGCTTGTCTGTAGATGTACATGTATGTGTATATATCACCTGTTGAATTATGCACCGCAGTGATTTATCGATAACACCGCATATAAGAATTTGAAATTTATGTATGTTTGTGTATACTTTTATTATTTCATTTCTAATAATAAATAAATAACTAGCAAAAATTTCGATTGAAAATTTATCAGCGCTGATAATTTTTATAAATTATTATAATAAGTTCACAACGCTATTCTTTGTTTTGTTGTTGTAAAATGTAGAGTTGCACCATAAGGCGTTGATAAGTGAAATAAAGATATTTGTTTTAGAATTTTTTAGTTAAACTTAAAAAAAAAATTATTATTTTGTTACTTTAAAAACATTTTTAGGTAAACATTTTTTTTATCTAATTAAATTTTTTTTGCTTTTTTGTAAAAGTGAGGGTGGTTCAAAAAATATTGGAAAAATACTTTTTGAATATTTTTGCTTTATTGTATTTTATTTTATAACAGAGTAATAAGTGTGATGAAAAAATAGATAAAATTAATTTTATATATATTATAATATTTAATTTAAAAATTAAATTTTTTTATTTAAAAAAATTTTTAAGTTAAATTTTTTTTATCCAATTAAAATTTGTTTGTAGAAGTGAGTGTGGTTCAAAAAATACTTGAAAAAATAATTTTTGAATATTTATGCATTATTGTATTTTATTTGATAACAAAGTAATATGAAGGTGAAAAAATACTTGAAAAAAATATAAAAAAGTAGGTCGAAAAAAATCCCCCAAAATTTTGATGCTATTTGGTCTGACAGAATTTGCTTTTTTTCAGATTAAAAAATTGTTAGGTGGAGAATAGTAAAAGAACGTAGAGGAAAAAAATTTAATAGTGATCGGATTATCCGAGTAATCACTCAAGCAACTGGCTAAAAGCTCTACGATATTTATTTAAAATAGTCCTTTAAAGATCTCTAAATATTTTCTTCAATTTCATTAAAAAACTGTGTCTTTTACAATATTTCTGAATGTTCGAAATTTTTGAGAAGATCTAACCATCTTTTCCATATATTGCACCTTAAGTTAGCTATGCAGTCTACCACACATATATATATATATTTATTGCTTTATCTTGTTTTGTTTTCACAAACATTTTTAAGGAGAAGGTTTCACGGTTGCGTGGGGGAATTTATGACAAAAAAGGAATAATAATATTATAATACTTTATTGTCGGTCCAAAGTTTAGCAGTGAACTATTAGATTATAAATGTATGGTGGGTAAGATCGTCTATTACATTGATAACCATATTTTTATTGCGTTTTAAATGATTATAGCTTAGTTAAGATACGCCAGTTCTACTTTTTATCGCAAAGTAAACAAAAATTATAACATAAAGAAGAAAAAAAAAACGTTAACTACGGCTGCCGAAGCTATAATACCCTTCACAAATAAAAAGTTTTCCATGCAAGAACTTAATTTTGTTCAGTGAGTTTGTGTCGCAGCTACATAGATGCTATAGTGGTCCGATCTGTTAAAATTAGAACCCTTATATAAAGTGTGGATCTGCAAATAAGCTTTAAACCTTTAGTAAACCAAACGTTATTGTAACCTCTTCCTAACCTTCAGTTATCTATCTGTTTATTTTATGTTTGAGATTCAAGTTAAATTTTCTTCGAAAATTCATTAGATATTAAATCTAAATTTAAAAAAAAAATTAAAATTTTTTCTTAACCGCTGGTTAAGTTTTAACCGTCAATTAAATTTAGAACCAACCCTTCAATAAATCAAAAATTTAGAAATAGTTTTAAAATTTTTGGCAAGTTAAACTTTATTTTAACCTCTGGTTAATTTTATTTAACCTCTGGTTAAATTTGGATTCTGGTTAAAATTGCGAATAATACAAAAAGGGAGCACATCGAGGCTTTAATTAGCTTTCTTATCAAAAACGAAAGTTCAATTTTCTAGACTATGCTCAAAACTCCATCGGCTCTCTATCCCTATGAGATTATAACTAACTTATAAAATTACAACAATAAATCATGTATGAATCTCTGCAACTATCTCATTGCTGAGCACAATACTTTCACATAGCAATAAGATCAATTATTCACATTATTGATCGACGACTGATCGTACAAGGTTTGCCAGTTAGCGTACATAGGTACGCTGCGAGCGGCCGAAAAGTGCCACGGTTGCATGCGGTGAGCGTAGCAGTAACCATACATACATATGTATATACCTGTATTTGCGTCTATATGTATGTATTTGTACAAGCGAACATGTGCTTTCTCATTGACGTTGACGTACTTTTATCAGCCAACGATCAACAGCGTCGACGCCAGCGTCCTTTCGACCGCTACCACCCAACAACAAATCGCAAGTGTAGACAGAACAGCGCTCTTATCACAGCTACCAATACAGGCGTAAACGCACGCGACTCATGTTTTGTCGTTGCTTATGTTGTGTTGTTATTATTATTGCGATTTTGTTGTTGCTGCGGCTGCTGCTTGCACTTGTTGCTCTAAGTTTTGAAATTTTCAGATAACACTCACACACTTGAACACATTTTCGTGCTAAATTTTACGTGCGACGACCCTACAACTTACTTAGTGCGCTGAAAAAAAATCTAGCAGACATACAAACATTTCTTAAAAGCGCTACAGGCACCGAGCGCATTTAGAAAATTATTTTCGCTTTTAGTTTAGTCGCATTTGTGCTGGCGTTTAGTACTTAATTACATTTAGCTGATCGTATTTTGGGCGTAAATATTGTTTTATTTTTGTGTTTTTTTTTAGCAAATACTAATGTGTGTGTGTTTCTACCGCAATATACTGTAAACTTTACTTAAAGTAAGTTTACGAAGTCAAGTTAAGCAGACTATGTATCTCACCATCCAATAATCTAACAGTTAACAAAAAATTATGTTGCGTTCATATAGTGATCAGTGCTGATTAGTGGCGTGATTTATTGTGCCGACGTTTGACATGTGACTTCATTTGATTTACAATTACAAAAAACTGATATTTTTATATGCACCAAAAAACTTTAATTTATAATTTTTCGACATTTGAGTAATGGCATGCACTTTCATTTTGTATCTAATTGTCAGAATGGAAAGCTTCTGGGTGCAGAGCGCAATCGGTGCTATCAAAGTGCTCGCTTTTGTGTGTGACATAATCACGTTGCCGGTATATTTGGTATTGCAGCGGCCATGGAAGCGGAGAGAAGAGTCACGACGCGTCAAGGTGAGTGTAAAAACGAAAATAAATTTAATGCTGAAAAAAAAAACAAAAAATAGTGTGTTTGTTAAGTTTTTCGTTCGTTTACATTTTTTTCGATTTTGTTTACTCAGTCGATTGCCAAAATCACATTGAAATTGAAATTTTTTTCAAAAATTTTTATATATAAAAAAATTTGTTTAGTTTTAAATAATTTTTTTTTAATTTTAAATTATTTTTTTTTAATATTTTAAGTTTAGTTTTTTTTAAATTTCTTAAATTTAGTTTGTTATTTTAATTTTTTAAGTTCAGTTTGTTTTTTTAATTTTTTAAATTTAGTTTTTTTTTTACTTTTTATAATTTAGCTGTGTTTTTTAAATATCTTTTACTTTTTAATTTTATTTTTTTTAAGCTTTTCTCTTAATTTTGTAAATTAAATTTTTAAAAATATCTTTTACTCTTTAATTTTAATTTTTTTTTAAGTTTTTCTCTGTTTTTTTTTTAATTTTTTTTTGTTTTTTTATTTGAAAGTCTTTGAAAAATATTTTTTTAAAATTTTTTATTATATAACATTTTTTTTTAATTTTAAATTATTTTTAAAAAAGTTTTTTTAAGTTGTTTATTTTAATTGATTAAATCATCTAAAATTTGTTTTATTCATTAAATTACAAAAAAAATGTTTTAATTGTTTATTATTTTCTTTATTATACTTAAACTTTTTTCAATTTTAAATTATTTGTTTAATTTTAAATGTTTTTAAGTTTTTATTTAATTTTTTAAACTATTTTGATTATTTTAATTTTTTTCATTTGTTTTATTTGTTTTTTATTTTAAAATATTTGAAAAATAAAAAAACACTTTTTTTATAATTTTAATTTTTTTTATATCTTTGTTATTGTATATTTTATTATTGTTTTAGATATATTTTTACGTTTTTATGTATATATATTTTTTATTACAATTTTTTTTTTTTTTTTTTTAAATTTTTTGTTTATTTTTTTGTAATGTTTTTTATTTTTACGTTTCTCATATATTTTTTAATTATTTTAAAATTTATTTTTGTATTATTGTATATTCTTTTGTCATTTATTATTTATTATTTTGCTTTATTTTTAATATATTTTTAATTTTTTCTACATTACTGACAGCTGCTAATGATTACATAGTAATTATCGCTATTTATATGATTCTCTCGACATTTCTTACTTAATTACATAAATCTTGTTGTTTTTGCTGTGAAATTTTACTGCTTGCTAGTAAGTTATCGTATATGCCCGCCACCTGTGTTAAGTCGCTTAATTAATAGTGATAGTGCAGCATTTATTATTTATTGTCGCTTGTGTTGTTGCAGGAAGTAATTTCGTCTGGCAACTTTAGACTTTAGACTTTGTACCTGAATTTACATATTTCCACTTGTGATCTTTGCAAATGATAACATATCACTTCGAGTACACTCGTTCTATTTTCGTCATTTACAACAAAGACAAAAACTATTTCATACACATGCTTCGACACGAGTTGTTGTGTTTGTAAGTGTGAAAAACATTCCAAAAATAATTCGTAAGAATGCTATCGAGTTGACCAATTACTGGTCTGTTGTGGGAGCACTTACACAAAAGTCGCTTTATCATCATGAATCAAATGCTATCGTTCTGTTATCCCGAATATTTCGGTTTACGTTACCCAAAACGCATTCCCAAAACAATTTAGAGAGTTATAGCTATTACAATATTAACAATCTTTCCGTATATCTGGAATACTAAATCATATAACCTATAAAATTAATTAAATCTAGTATCTGTTATATATAATTTTTTTCACAATGTTGCTGCCCTTCAGTAGCAATTTAGATATATCGAGAATTATTATGTGATTACTTTATGTGTAGATTGATGAAAAAATATTATAAAAATAAATAATTCTATATTATCATAATAAAAAAAAAAATTAATATCAAATTATGAAATTAAGTAGATCGATAAGCAAAATTGCCGATAAAGAAATCTCTAGCCTATCAACCATTGAATTTTTATGTTTATAACTTTATTTTTAAGATAACACAAAAACTGCGCGAAGTATGCATTTTATCTCGAAAATATTAACTAACATAAACTCCAGTTTGTGGCTATTAAATTTATGACCAACATTCCTAGCGACACTTCGAAACACATTTAACGAATTTTTAATCATACCAGCGATAAATAAAACAGTTGACACACACACACACGCCCATCTTAATGACTCTGACTCTTACAAGTATTTGCTTCTAAGTTAAATAACTATAGCCGCTTATACTCATACACTACATATATATGTAACAAAAACACACCTACATACACACATACATACAAACATATGCGCTTGTACTCAACTCGCAACAACACTTGTCGACATTTGTATTATATTTACCTGCAAAATTGCTCATTCTTATAATCGTTTCATATAAATATCTTTCTGCTTTTGTTGATTATCTGTTTGTTGTTATTGTTTTCTTCATATTTTGTTTTTGCGTCAGGCTGTTCCAGTTAAGAAATTTGACGCCGGCACGAACGAGAAGCCGAGATATGCCGCAGATGACATTGAGGTTTTGCTCTGATTTGTTTGTGTTTTTGTTGTTGTACATAGTATTTCCTTTTTGTTGACGGGATTTTCTTTTGTTTGCAATATCCTTAACTTTTTATATGTCTATATACATACATATGTACATATGGCTAGATGGTTTTTTGTTTTGATTTTTGCCTGGAACTGGTTTAAAGTTTTTAAAAAATATTTAAATTACTTTTTATGCTTATTTGTGACGAAAATTTAAAAAATTCTAAAAATAGAAAACAAAATAAATTATTTTTATTAATAATTGTTCAAAGAAACCAACCCGGTGCACTAGAGTTGTACTCAGTTGATATATTATTTTTTTAGAGTTACCACATACTTATTTTTATTCGATGTTTGATCCCACTATGAACCAATCACGGTGTACCCAATTGGTGGCAGAATGTGATTCTTGCTGTGTTTAATATTATAATTTAATTTGAAATATATTTGTTATATATTTTTATTTTTTTTTTGTAAAAATTTTTTCCAATTATTAATTATTTTAACAAATTTTTTAACATTGCATACTTTAAGCAGGTATATTTTTTAAATTTACTAGAAATTAAAATTTTATAATTTTTTCGAAATACCTACATACATATACATAATTTTCAATATAAATTTTTAAAATTTTGAGTGTTTTTAAAAACCAAAATTATTTTATTTTTTCCACTTCACTTGTTTCAAACATGAATTATCGAACTTTTGCTTTCAAAATTTACTTTATGGCTGTAACATACATATTTTAAACTTAAAATTGTTGAAAAACTTAAATTTTTTCGAAATTTTAAATTTTACTTTAAGGATATACATATATTTTTTATATTTACTTGAAATTATTGGAAAATTGGAATACTTTCGAAATTAAAAACTTTTATTCGAAAATTTTAAATTTTATTTCGAATATTTTAAATTTTATTTCAAAATTTTCAATTTATTTTTGAAATGTTTTTTCGAAATACCAATTTTTTTGAAAAAAATATTTTTTAATTTTTTTCATTTCTTTAACAAAAAAAAAAGAATTTTAAGGGGTTATTTTTTAAATTTACTTGAAATGACAATTTCATATTTTTTTATTTTTTTTTTAATTAAAATTTTCTTTTAATAAAGTTGGCTTAAAAAATTTATTTTAAAAAAAATCGATTCTTTCACTTTATTTTGAAACCGACTAAACGTTTTTTCATGTATAAAAGTCTACTTTTAGGCGTTTTACCCCTTCACCCATTTTACTCACCAAGTTTCAAGCAAAATATACAACTTTCCGCAACTTACACTCGTTTAGTTTCTTCCCATAACTGTTTATTTATTTAAGCAATTGCAACAATTTTTAAAATGACACTGGGTTCCAAAAGTTGGCGGGCACAGCTAAACCACTGGCTACCTCACACTCTTTTACCCACTGCCTTAACCTATAATATATTATAGAATATTATTTCAAAACAAACTAATTTCCTTTCGTTGCTATCTTTTAGGCGCGCGTTGTCAGTTCCGATGAGCATTCGTTGACCTATCGCACCATCGAGCCGCCACGTGAGGTGCACGTGAAGATGCTGCAAAATAACATCGACACACTGGAGAAGATGTTCAACTATGTGGCTAAGGTGCATTCGAACAAACGTTGTCTGGGCACGCGCCAGATTCTCAGCGAGGAGGATGAGGTGCAACCGAATGGACGTATCTTCAAGAAGTACAATATGGGCGAGTATAAGTGGAAGAATTTCATTGAGACCGATCGCACGGCTACGTCTTTCGGGCGCGGTCTGCGCGAGTGTGGACAGAATGCTCGACAGAATATTGTTATATTTGCTGAGACGCGCGCCGAATGGATGATCGCAGCGCATGGTTGCTTCAAGCAAGCAATGTCCATTGTAACTGTATACGCCACACTGGGCGATGATGGCGTGGCGCATTGTGAGTAGCTGCCTCGTTATGTTGAGATTTTGTAACGCAATTAATGCTTTTTGTTGTTGTTGTTTTCATATAGGTATCAGCGAAACCGAAGTCACCACCGTGATCACATCGCACGAGTTGTTGCCCAAATTCAAGCAGTTGCTGGATAAATGCCCCAAAGTGAACACCGTTATCTACATGGAGGATCAGCTGCATAAGACCGACACAACGGGCTTCAAGGACGGTGTGCGCGTACTCTCTTTCTCGCAAGTTGTGCGCATGGGACAGGAGAGCAAGTTTGGTGAGTGGAAATCAAAAGTTAAAGGAAATAAAAAAGATTAACGAAATTTTAAAAATTGTAATGAAACAAAAACAAAATTAATTAAATAAAATATCTTAAAATTATTTTAAAAACTTAAAAAATATAATTATAACAGTTCTAATAATATTTTTGTGAGTTAACAAAAAAAAAATTAATTGATACTAAAATTGACTAGATTAAAAATTATTAACGAAACAAAAACAAAAATTATTTAGTTAATAAACTTTATAAAGTGCATAAATTAAATAAAATACTTTAAAAATTGAATGAAAATCGTAAAAATAATTTTTGAAAATTTATTTCAGTATTAATATAAAATTATCAAAAATAAAAAAAATGATTTAATAACACAATATATTTTAAAGTAAAATAAAATTTGAAATACTTTACAAATTTACTGAAAATCTTAAAAATAATTCATGAAAATGTATCAGAATATTTATAAAATTATTAAAAAAAAACATTATTTAAAAGAAAAAAGTTGTTTAATTAAAAAAAAATATTAAACCATTTAAAACAATTAAAAAATTTATTGAAACTCGTAAAAATAATTTTTGAAAATTTATCACTATATTAATATGAAAATAATCAAAAAAAAAATTATTTAAAAGAAAAAATATATATTAATAATGAAAAATAATTTAATATTAAATTGAAAATCTTAAAAAGAATTTATATTAATAACATTTTTAAAAAAAAGTTATTTAAAAGAAAAAAAATTTTTTAATTCAGAAAAAAATATTTAAATATTAATTGCATCATTTCAAATACTTAAAAAATTAACTGAAAATCTTAAAAATAATTCTTGAAAATGTAACACAATATTAATAAAACTATTTAAAACTAATTATTTAAAAGCAAAAAAATATTTTATTCAGTAAAAATCTTTAAATATTAAATCTTAAATGATAGAATATTTAAAAAATTGATTGAAACTTGTTAAAATACGTTTTAAAATATTAACACAACATTTAAATTATTTTAAAAAAAATGACTAAAAAATATAATTGAATAAAAAATAGATTCTAACAAGAAATAGTATTAAATATTTATCACAATATAAAAATTATTTTAATTTAAAAAAAAATTGTAAAAAAATAATAATATTATTATTAGAAAAATAAAACTTAAATTTTTATTAAGGAATAAAATATATTGTAAATAAATTGTTACCCTATCAAATAATTATTAAAACAATTTAGCAGCAGAACTACTTTTTTTAAAATAAATAAAAGTTATATGTATGTTAGTTAACAGCAAAAAACTGTAATTATCAATATATAATTACTGTTCCGTTCTCCCACAGAGAGCGTACCACCCAAACCCGAGGACACAGCCATCATTATGTACACTTCTGGCTCCACAGGCACACCGAAAGGCGTGCTATTGTCTCATCAAAATTGTATTGCCACAATGAAAGGTTTCTGTGACGTGGTGACCGTGAAGCCTGACGATGTACTGATTGGGTAAGTAAAAAGGGAAAAGTAATTAAACTGCGCAATTTAATATAACACATCAACTTTACGCATTACAGCTTCCTGCCGCTGGCGCACGTATTTGAATTGCTCGCTGAGAGTGTTTGCCTGATGACCGGCGTACCAATTGGCTATTCCACACCACTGACACTGATTGACACCAGCAGTAAGATTATGCGCGGCAGCAAAGGTGATGCGACCGTCTTGCGACCCACATGCATGACTTCCGTGCCGGTGTGTAGAGTTTTGTAAACAAAATAATACTGTTTTTTTTCGACATTTACTTGAATTTGAAAATATAATATATTTTGTATTTTTTAGTTGATACTGGATCGCATCTCCAAGGGTATTAACGACAAAGTTAATTCGGGCTCGGCCTTCAAGAAGGCGCTCTTCAAATTTCTGTACCAGTACAAAGTGCGTTGGACGAATCGTGGCTATCAAACGCCATTGGTTGATAAGTGAGCAAAATTCACTAATTTTTTATTTTCGAAATAAATTTTACTAAAATTTTTGTTATTTCTCTCACCACACAGATTGGTTTTCCAGAAGGTCTCAAAGCTGCTTGGTGGTCGCGTGCGTTTGGTGCTCTCCGGCGGTGCGCCACTCTCACCCGATACACATGAACAAATCAAAACATGCTTATGCGTGGATGTAGTACAAGGTTACGGTCTGACAGAGACTACATCGGGCGCCGCGGTTATGGACAGTAAGTGCAGTTTTGTAATATACTACTTATTATTGAAATAATTAACTGTTTTTTGCTTTATTTGTAGACCGTGATATGACTTATGGTCGCACTGGTGCACCGCTGACTGTCTGCGACATACGTCTAGTCAACTGGGAGGAGGGCAGATATCGTATTACGAATAAACCATATCCACAGGTTTGTCGGTTGAACAAAAATTATGTTGTACCTTGTGGTTTGCAAATAGTAAATTTGCTTGAATTGCAATTACAGGGCGAAGTGCTAATAGGCGGTGATTGTGTATCGAAAGGTTACTACAAATTGCCCGACAAAACTGCTGAGGAATTTTTCGAGGAGGATGGCAAACAGTGGTTTAAGACTGGCGACATTGGTGAAATTCATCCAGATGGTGTACTTAAAATCATTGGTGAGTTACGAATAAGTGTGGGCAATAATAATTAGTTTAGTGAAAGTTTGAGGTTAAAAACGAATGCATTTAATGAAGTCGGAATAATTTAAACTGCTTTACTAGAAGCTGATAAATTTTATATAAAAAGATTTTTTTTCTTGATTTTAAGCGATCAGTCTGTGTGTCAGCTATATGCTATAGTGGTCCGATCTGAATAATTTGTTTGGAGATTGTAATGTTGTCTTGTAAAATAATCTACGCCGAGTTTCGTGAAGATATCTCGTCAAATAAAAAAAAATTTTATACAAGGACTTGCGTTTGACCGAAAACTTTCTATGGCAGCTATATGCTATAGTTTTCCATACAAGTACCTTATTTGTCCGTTCAGCTACATATATGCAGTAATGGTCCGATAACGGCGGTTTCCGACAAATGAGCAGCTTTTTGGGGAGAAGAAGTTGTGATGAAACTTTTAGATTGATATCTCGAAAACTGCGGGACTAGTTTGCGTATGTACAGACAGACGGAAAGACTATCGTTATAAAATTCGTGTTAAAATTAACCCTGTTCAGTCTATAAATATCTGTATATTAAAAATTTATATACACATATTTTACCTTACAACGTGCTACAAACACTTTAAACTTATCCAATAATGTTTTAATCCTCCTAGATCGCAAGAAGGACTTGGTTAAGCTGCAGGCCGGCGAATATGTGTCACTCGGCAAAGTTGAATCCGAACTGAAGACTTGCCCAATTGTGGAGAATATCTGTATTTATGGCGATCCAACCAAACAATTCACCGTCGCATTAGTGGTGCCCAATCACAAACATCTCGAAGAATTGGCCGAACGCAATAGCTTAAAGACCAAAGCTTTCGAGGAGCTATGCACGTCGCCCGTTATGGAGAAAGCGGTACTGAAAGAGCTCGCCGAACATGCCAGGAAATGTAAGTGCTTAGAAGGTGTTAGTAATGTAACGGTTGATCAACTCATTACATTTTCACAGGCAAATTACAAAAGTATGAAGTGCCCGCAGTGCTCACGCTCTGCAAGGAGGTTTGGTCACCGGACATGGGTCTCGTTACGGCCGCTTTCAAGCTGAAACGCAAGGAAATACAAGAAAGATACCAAGAGGATATCAAGCGCATGTACGCGTCATGAAAGTCAGTCTACTGAATGGTGACGTCGTCGAACAAAACTGAAAATTACTGTACATTTTTCCTTCCAATGGCGTTGCAAGCAAGTTGTAAGTTAAATTTAATTTGCATATTTCATATTTAATGAAATAATTATGGTGAAAAAAAAAATACAAAAACAAACCAGTCAACAAACGGAGAAATGTACAACACTAAAAAGAGTTGAAAAAACAAAGAACAAAAAAAAACATTGAAAAAATAACTAAAAAGCAAGCGACAAAAAAGGCAACAAAGCAGCAAATGCCGCGAAATGTGGCAACAACGCAAATGTTGTTGTAATATAAATTAAAACTAGATCTTTCAGTAACGTTTTCTCAAACGTATTTTTTAACTACAATTATTATTTAAATAGTTTTTGTTTTGTAAATTTTAATTATTTTTAAACATAATGGAAGTTGTAATGTGTTTTTAGGTGCGTTATTACGATTATAAATATTGTATATTGTAATACGAGTTATAACAAAATGAAAAAAAAAACCAGAAAAAAAAAACAAAAAACAAAGAAACGTTAACTATTTGAATGCTGCTTTATTTAATTATGGAAATAATTTTTGCGCTTAGTGTATATTTGAATTTAAATAAATAGAAAAGAAAATAATATGTTTAGAGTGACAAGTGCAACAACAATGCGCCGGTGTGCTGTGCGCAGCTGCGCCGTCGCAAACACAGCTGGATGCTTCCAATTTTTATATGGAAGCTACAAACTAAAGTAGTAAAAGTATATAAAAGAAATAAGTTTTGGCTAAAAATTAGCATATTGAATTTCGGCACTTGTAACTTTAGCATAAAAATTAGCTTTAAGTGAACTCTAAGCTAAGTCTAGTGAAAAATTTTCTCTTTTGTTGCAAGCATTCAACCATTAATAAATTTAGCTATAAACAATAATTATTTAAAATTTAAACCAAACAATAAAATATATATATATAAAAAATATAATAAAGTTATTTAAAAACAAAAGAAAATGCTATGAAATGTTTTTAGATATGTACATATATATTCCCAAATATCACATATATAAACATACATATGTATATATATATAATACATATATATAGCATGTAGCGAGTTTGCGTGTGAAATGTGTAGTGGCAAGTGAGAATAGTGTGAGACGTTGCAGCGTATTTTTTTAATTTTTGTCTGAAATATTTTAAAATATATTTTTTGTTTATCAACTTTTACTTTTTATAACTATTTCACAATTGTTTTTTATTTATATGAAGTGTTGCAAATAATATAAGAAAACATAATTCTAATAATATTTATTTATTATTATTATTATTTTTTTTTTTTGTAAAAATCGAAAATCTTAATTGAACATTATATCAAATTTCGAAGCCTAAATACCGTGTTGAGAATTATAATTGAAAAATAAAATATGCTAATGCCAAGTTTATAATTAAAAATTAAATAAAGCGGTTTTGCATTTACTTCGTGTTCTACCATTTTGAAAATTTTTAAAAATTATAATGTTTTCCAATATTGTCATTGCAAATAGTTAATTTAAATTAAAATCTGATTTTTAATTCAAAATTTTCGCAAACCTGTTGAAATGTAATTTTTTTTTTAATTTTTTTCCGAATGAATACACATACATACATATTTACATACATAGAGTTCAAGTTTTTTTCTTGTAAAATGTTATTGCTAATTTTTAAATTAATTATTTTATTTTAATTAATTCTTATTATTTATTAATTAATTCTTGTTATTTATTAATTATTAGTTTAAATTAATTTTTTTTTTATAAATTATTTTTTAATTAATATTTTTTGTTTTTATTAATTATTGTCTTTTTTATATATAATATACACAGTATATAAAAATCAATGTTTGTAAAATTTTATTATATTTTTTTAGCGTTGATTTTTTTTATTAATTTTTTAAAATTATTATTTTTTTTAATTATTGTTTTTTTTTATTTAATATTATTCTAATTTATTTGTTGTATTTAATTAATAATTTTTTTTAAATTATTATTGTTTTTTTTATTTAATATCATTCTAATTTATTTATTGTTTTTTAATTATTCTTTTTTTTTTAATTTTTTGTTCTACTAATAATACACATACATATGTAAATATATAAAAATATTGTTTGTCAAATTTTAATTTATATTTTAGAATTGATTATTTTTTATTAATTTTTTAAAATTACGTTTTAATTAATTAAGTTTTTTAATAAAATATATTTTATATATTAATAATACACATACATATGTATATAAAATTTTGTTTGCAAAATTTTATTTAATATTAATTTATTTTAATGTTTTGTTAATTAATAATAGTTATACAAACAATGGAAAATTCAATCAGGGTATTTCATTAATTTATTCTCTGACTTAACACCTTTTTCATAATTTATATAAAATGTTTACTTAATTACACATTTTTGCTTATATTTTAATTTTTCGCTTTTATATTTTGTTTTTCAACAAAAAAATGTAATGTTTAAGTTCGATTTCTTTTTTAAAAAAGGAATTTCAACAAACAAAATTAAAATGTTCAATTTTGACTTTTTTATTTTTAATTTTAAAAAATTTTCAACAAACAGAATTTTAAGTTTAAATTTTTGTTTAATCATGTTACAATTTTTATTAAATTTTATATCTATTTGTTTTATTAATTTTTTAATTTATTTTGATTAAAAATATTTTATTAATTTTTTAAAATTATTTTTAGAATTTTTATATCTTTTTATTTTGATTAAGTATTTTTTTTTATTTTATATTATATATATATTTTTTTAAATTTATAATATTTATGTTGATTTTAAAAATTTTTTTATATCTATTTGTTGTATAAATTTAGTTTGATTAAGTATTTTTTTAATTTTAGAATATTTTTATAATTTTATAATATTTTTATAATTTTATAATAATTTTTAATTATTATTATTTTTTTAATTTTTCGTAGATTTTTTAAATTATATTACAAATTAAATTTCCAAAGTTTTTGTGCAATTTTAAAGTGTATAGGAAATTTCAGACTAATTTTATTTTTTACTAAAAAACAAACAAAAAAATTTATTTAGCAATAAAAATTGAATAATTAAAAAATTGTTAAATTTGTATGTGTATATGTATGTGTATATGTCTGTAGTGGCAACGCAAGCTTTTACAGTTATTTTTGCTTCTTTGGGAGGGTTAAAATATTTTTGACAGTCGAACATTATTTTCTCAATTGATAATAAGCAAAATGTAAATAAAAATTCAGACAAAGATACAAGAAAAATATTATATATTATATATTAATATATGTAAACTATAGCAAAAAAGGAAAATTAAGTAAATTGAATATAAATATGCATATTTTATAAGAGAGAGTTATGTATGGAAGTGTGCAAAGAGTGGTGAAAGAGAAGTGGAAGAGCATATTATGAAAATGTAGGTAAGAGCAAATTTAGGTTAGTTGATATTTTGAGAACATGTGTGTTGCAGGTGCATTTTGAAAACTAAAATTGTTTTTTAAATTCATTTTTTATGTTTGTATGGCAAATATTGAAGAATTGCTGTTTATTAAAATTTAAATACGCGCTGTTTTTCAAATAATTTCAACATTCTGTATTCGTAAAATAAATTTTGGTATTCCAAAAACATCGAAACATAATTGCTACTAACTTTCACATTTTCAATAAAACTTTCGAAATTCGCGCACGTTGAATTACTACTATAAAAAAACAAAAAAAAAAACAATATTCAACGAATTAGTTGCACACCAAAAAGTAGGCAACACTTTGCTAGGCATTTTTTAACGCTAGCAACATTTTCGAAATTATGTGAGGTTAAGTTGAAAGTAAAGGCTTGTGCAACACAACTAGTATATTTCGACTGGGCTAGCACGACAGATAAGACTTGGTATGTGGGTTACACAATTAGTTATTAAATTTAATATATTTAATTATAATAACTCAGATTCGTAGCTCTTAAATTAAGTCAAGATTATATAAAAACAAAAAATATTAAAAATTGAGAATAAAAAAAATTGAAACTAAAAAAGGCGTAATATTTTTGTGTATCCAATAAAAAGGTAATCGTATTTTTTTTCAATAAATTAAAGTGATGACAATAGCAAGTGGGTGGTGAGAGTGCTGTTGAAAATAATTATAGATGCTTTTTACTGTTGTTTTTTTTTGCCTTCGCTGGCAAATATTTTTTAAAGAAAAATCATAAAAAATAAAAAAGCCACATTTTTTTTTACAAATTTAAAAAGTATATAATTTCGAAATTTTCAAAATCTTTGAGAAAATAACAATTTCTTCAATCAACACTATAATTTTTTTTTTAATTCAATAAATAATTATCTTCGAAAATTTAAAAATTTTTTCGAAATTGAAAATTTTACCAATCAACTTATAAATTTAATAAAACAAAATAAAATCATTATATTAACAATTTCAAGACTTTTTAAATTTTTTTCGAAATTAAAAATTTGACCAATCAACTTATAAATTCGATAAACGTAAAAAATAAGTATATTTACAATTTTAATACTGTCTCAAACTAAAAATATAATATATTTTTAATTTTAATATATTATCAAAATTTTCCAAAAAGTCTATTATTTCTTCTTATTGTTTTTGTAGGTATGAACATAAGCATTTTTATTTGCTTGGGTCTCTATGTAATTATGTACATACATACATATGTATGTACTATTGTAGATATGACGTAAGCAAATAATTATTATAATAAGTTTATTTTCAGTTAAAAGGTTAAACAAAATATTAAAAACAAAAATAAATAAATTAATAAATAACGAAATATTAATTGTTTCATTTAAACAGTGGACTTATTTATCAAATAAAGATATTTCATTAATAAATAGAATATGTCAAAAGTTGAAAAAAAAGAGTTTATACAAACTAAACAACAATTTGGTTAGTATTTTAATTTCAAAATTTTCCTTTTAAAATTCTTTTTAATTATACAAAATAAATATTTAATATTTTCTCTAAAAAAATGTTTATTTTTTCAAAATTTTTTTTATATATTTTAATTTTTCTGGTTTTGAGAACCTGTATACCCAATTCCCAAAGTTAGTAATCAATATAGTTAAAAAAATAGAAGTTCTTATTCTTCGAAAAATTTGAAAAATTATAAAAATCAATAGCAATCGAATAATAGATTTGAATATAGTGCAAAAAGTAAGAAAAAAGATTTTTTTTTAATTTTCGAAAAGTTTGAAAAGCTTTAAAAAATTAAAAATAAACAAAATAATAAATTAAAAATAAATAAATTTTTTAAATAAAATTTTTTAATTTTCGAAAAATGCGAAAAGCTGTAAAAAGTTATAAAAATCCAAAGTAACCGTTATATTAGAAATGAATATATCACAAAAAATAATAAAATTAAATTTTTTTATTCTTCGAAAAATTTTAAAAGCTTTGAAACATTATAAAAATCAATAGCAATTGCAATACTAGGAATGAATATAGCGGAAGAATAAGAAAATATCGAATAACATCTTCGAGAAATTTATAAAGCTTTAAAAAATTATTAAAATCAACAGCAATCGGAATATTAGGTTTGGATATAGTGCAAAAAGTAAGAAACTATAATTTTTTAATTTTCGAAAAATTTGAAAAGCTTTGAAACATTATAAAAATCAATAGTAATCAGAATATTAGAAAATAGAATTTTACAATCAAGATATAGGCAAAAAATAAAAAATACAATTTTTTAATTTTCGAAAAATTCAAAAAAAGTTTAAAAAATTAGAAATACCAAAAGCAGTCTGAATATATGTATGTTAGGTGAGAAACGACATAATAAGAGTTTTCTTAATGTGCGAAACAATTTATAATCTTAAAAAATTATGCAAATCAAAAGCAACCGCAATATTACATACATACATATGTACATATTTATGTAGGCTTGGATATAGTGCAAGTGGCAAGAAAATATAAAATTTTAATCTTCGAGCAATTTGAAAAGTTTTAAAAAATTTCTAAAATAAATAGCAATTGGGTATTGGGTTTCGATATATTGCCAAAAGTAAGCAAATATAATTTTTTAATCTTCAAAAAATTTGAAAAGCTTTAAATAATTATAAAAATCAACAGGAAGCGAAATATTAGGAATAAATATATGGTGCGAAAATAAGAAAATAGAATTTTTATTTTTTTTAATCTTCGTATAATTTAAAAAGTTTAAAAAATTTATAGAAAAATTAATAGCAGGCGGTATATATGTAATGAATATAGCGGAAAAATAAGAAAATAGAATTTTTTAATCTTCGAAATTTTTTTTAATAAAAATATTTTTTTTTAATATATTAATATGTGCTTTCAAAGTTTTTATTATAAAAAAAATATTTTGCTACACGTAATAGTCAAGCATTTTTTCAGATACATGCTTAAATTTAAACGCCTTGGGCCTAAATTTATAAAGAATAGTTTTTATTTATTAATTTTAATGATAGCTAAAACTAAATTTAGGTAAAAACCAGTTTTATACACTTACATATACTATAGCATACATTATACAAGTATTCCATACAATAATTATTATTTATTATAAATAGTTAACAGTTTCGGCGCATTTTTCGCCTCCTCAATTTCGGCTACTAACCGCGCCGCCTCCTGCTTTAGACGTATCAAAACCTTAACGCGTTTCTTTTCCATTTTCTGTTGGCGCAACGTCTCCTGCAAATTCGCTATTTGATCGAACAACTTCTGTCTATACTCCACGGCGCTATGGCACGTTTGTGTGCCAACAGTTGTTGTGGGTTTATTTAGTTGCCGCATTAGCGACTGGCATGGATACGCGTACTCATTAAGCGTATTATCCGGTGGCAACAACATTGTGTCATCGAAGTGTTTCTCGCAAATATACAGCGGTTTACGCCAATCGGCCGCTATATCCAAGCCGAGTTGTAGAAACCAAAAATGACGCTGGAAAGTCTGTGCGTCGGGTGTAGGAAATTCGTAGAGTTTGCGGGAATAGGCGCATTTCAAAACACAATAGGGCTCCACATCGTTATCTTCGTCATGCTGAGTTGTGGTTACTGGCGGAAAGTTTATTTCTGTTTCACTATACTTCAGCAAATCGTCGTCATCAACGTCCAGCGTGTTATATAACATAAGTTTGTTGTTGTTTACAGGCGCTGCAGTGTTTTTTGTATTCAAAATCTGCTTTGCTTTGGACAACAATTTCTCGATTGTATCACTCATTGGTTCGGGTTGCGCGTGCGCGGCACTTGTAGCAATGGCAAATGGTGTTGTGGTTGTGGCAAATGCTGTTGTAGTGCTAGTGGCTTTGGCTGCTGTCGGTCTATGCATCGTTTGCATAATTTCTGTTCGATTTGGTAGAATTTGTGGTGTGCTCTTTTCCGAAAATGTTACTATATTTCCGTTAGCTGCGTGCATTGGCTGTTTGCTGTTTATTATTTCTACGCTTGTTATTTTTGCGCGATGCGCATCGTTCTGAGTTGCAGGCGTTACTTTCAAATTTGAATTGCCTACAGCAATAAACGGTTGTTTGCCGTTTATTATCTCCACGCTGGTGATTTTGAAAGCATTCGGATCTTCTTTATTAAATATTTTTGTTGGCACTTGTGTTGTGGCGAGGCCACATGCACTTTGCGCGCTATTTGCTATGTGCGTTATTATTGGTTTTCCAATTAGGCTGGCACCCGTCAAATTGCCAGCAATTCTTTTTTGGTCTATGCTTATTTTTTCCCTTTCACCAGCTTGCTTTATTTCCTCCACTAACTTTCTGGCCGCCAGCGCAATGGCATCTGGCGGCTTCTGCATGCTTGTTACATAAGTGCCGTTAGTAGTCACCTCTTTTTGCATGGTCTGCACCACTTGCTGCCAACTCTCGGCCAAAGCTACCGCCCTTGTTAGAGAATTTTTACTATGTTGTTGTTGTTGTTGTTGCGGTTGCGGTTTCATTTGTTCCTGTATTACCGCGTTTTTAACGGTTGCTGCTTTTAATTGTGTTGGTTGTACCGTTATTAGGCGCTTATTAACGGTTTCCGTTATCTTTTGTCTTAACAACTTGCCAGCAGCTTTTGGCTCGTCAGGTATTATTACGTTTTCAGCTTTACTTACGCTGCCTGTTTCGTTGCCATATTTGACTAATCTATTATTTTTGCCCAGCGTTAGCGAAAAACTTTCTGTAGGATAAGTTTCGGCCAGTTGCTCTAATATCGGATCTTCCGTTACGGCGAATTCAGCACTTGCTTCGGTTACACCGTTGGCACTAAAGTTGTTCAACACGTCAGCATTATTTTTGTGGCAATAGTAGTTGTCTGCACGTCTCCAAAAATTCTCGTTATTTTGCTGTTCATCAAATGCTTGCGTAAATGTCACCGTTTTCGCCGTGTTGTAGCCTGGATTATAATTATTTCGTTTGATGTTGTATATCTGCGCATTCTCTAAACTGTTGCTGCATTCGTAGTTGTCTGAATGCAACCATAAATCGCCGTTATTTTGTTGTTCATCATACGCTTGCGTAAATTTCACCTTTTTCGCCGTGTTGTAGCCTGAATCATAATTATTTCGCTTTGTGTTGTATATTCGGGCATCTTCGTCAACCTCTTCAACTGTCGCGTTATTATACGTGGGACTTGGTGGCAAGCTAGTATCAACTTCACTAAGCTCACTAATGCCTTCGTAGATCTCTTTTGGTATTGAATACACTTTTATATTTAGTTGGGGTTCAATCGTTTTAACATAGTCCATTAGCTGATATGCGCTGCAGTCTAAGGGATCAACTGCATTTAAAATTTGTCTCATTGGCACCACATAACCATCTTTATGTTGCATGAATACACCTAATGTTTGCATTTTGACATATTCTACTGCTGATTGTGCTTTCTGATTAGCCGTTGACGTAACGGTCATTTTTAGTTGGCCAAGAATGTTCTCAATTTGTGCTGATTGTTCACTTGTTGGCGTTTGCGCTGTAATTTGAGGTGGTGTATCAGTTGTTGTTGCGGTAAAATATGGTGAAATCGTTGCAGTTGTTGCAGCAGTTATTGTATCGGTTGGCGAAATCACTGTACTTGCTGTAGTTGTTGTTGCATCAGCTGCTGCTGTCGTCGTAACATTCGCTAAAGCTTGTAATCTTTCTAGCGACCAAGTTTTGATCACATAATTACTAGTATTATCCTCTTCCAATATTCTGAGCGTCAAATTTTGATCTGGTATGGCGTGCGGTTGTAAATAGGGGCCAACTCTCATTTCATCACTAAAATGACGATCGCACGCGTAGATGTCATGCGTGTAGAACGCAGGACTACGCCCAAATTTTAATAGCCACTCCTCGCGCCTGTAAAAAGATGCGAAAATTTTTAAATTTTTTCGAACATTTTATAACTTTTTTTTTTGTTTTTGTTTCTTGTATATATGTTTTTTTTTTGTTTTAATAATTTTTTACGTTATAACTTTCTTGAATTTATATAGATAGCAAATTCATTTAACAATTATGATAATTGCGTTACCTTTTACGATCGAGCGTTGGAAATTTGAACTTTCGCTTATAGTCTGAACACTTTTGCAGGCACTCTGTTTGCGCCTCCAATTCCTCTGGTATTGATTTTATTAGCGGTGGCGGCAAATTTTTATTCGGAAATGCACCGCGTATTAAATGTGATTTTCCCACCATATGTATGTCGAAGTGTAGATCACAAACATAAATGCGTTTCTTTTTGCATAATGCTGGATCCTTGCCTAGCTGGTACAGCCATTTTTCACGTCTTTCCAACTCGTTTTCGATAGATGGCAAACTGTGTAGTGAACGCTTACCGCCACAGCCTAGTATGCACTTTCGCTTACGATTGATTTTTTCATCATCTTGGTTTGGTGTTTGTGTAGCTATTTGCTTTTGTTGGTCTTCATCATTGTCACTGCTGCTGCTGTCCTCGGTGTGAGAAAGTTCATTGGAAAGTGGTACTATATATTCTAAGGGTATGTATTCTAGGTCATCGCCACAATCTTTCGGTGGCACCGCCACTGTATCATCGAGATTATCATGCCAAATCGGATCGGGTCTCACACCAGGTTTGTAATAGCTGTATCTTTGTGTGTAGGGATTCTCACTGTCGTATGGATACAAATTTACATCAGGATAGGCATTCTTTCGCAGCAGTCTACCATACGTCATATATGAGCTGAAATGCCGCCGGCATGCGTACAAATGTTTCTGTTTAAAGTTCTCTGGTTTTTCACCAAATTGTCGTATCCAGAGATCCCGCCTGATGCAATGCGAAATAAAATAAATTAAAAAATGCAAAAAACATGGGTAATCATATCAGAATAATTCCGTATCAAGCTGTGCAAGTATACACACACACACATACAGCAATATTTGCTACGGCACTCACCTGGCTACATCAGTTTTTGGTGGAAATGGGTATACGACGGCGCCACGAGGGCAATGAGCAAAACATCGACGAAAACGCATTGTTTTGTTTATAAATCTAAATAAAACTGCACTAAACAAATATATGCTTTTATATCAAAAAATACTAGTTATTTACCACCTTTGATATTTAGCTGCTGCAACTTAGGCACTGAGGACAAAATACTAATTAAAACATGCTCAAAATACAATTCATTTCAATCAATTTCGTATTCTTAATCAAAACTTTTCAGAAGCACGCTTGGTTTATTAATATAGTGTAATTAATAAAATAAACTCTAATTTTTACCGCGCAAGCAACACATTTAGATTTGTTTTTATTTATAATAAACAGCTGTTTGCACTAGACAATGATGCCAGCTTTAGTGCTTACTATCGCTACACGCTACATTTAACTTCGATTTGCGATATCTTTCCGCATATCGCTGGCAATTATTGGAACGTTTTAAAATTGAATTGTGGGGATTATCCGATCGCAGTAAAATTGTAAAAGGGGCAATTACATTAAAAGCGAAAGTGCTTTTTAAACATAAATTCGAAAAAATTAATATAGAATATTCAAATTATTAAATGGCAGCGGAAAATTTATTCAAATGTTAGTTGAATCGCTTTTAAAGATGTGTTATTGGAGTATTAAATATTACACATATACAAATAAATAAAATGCAATAAATCTTCTTAGAATTGTAAAATACTCACGAGTAGTTGAACCTTGTGATTTACTAGACAAGTAGAAAATATTTTTTTACAAAATTATTTTTATTTGAATACAAATATTTCAAACATTTCTTTACACGTTCTTTAGTTGTAATCACATAATATTAATAATCATATAATATTAACGTATTAATTAAGGTCTACTCAACATATTTGGTGTTTTTAACAATTTCATCGCAGCTTTTAGCGATATTATTTCTTCCGCTTGTTGTTTAACTTTTTCTTTCAATTCAAAAATATTTTTCAGAATCTTTATTGTGCTGTCCTTTGTTTGGGTACGCTCATTGCGGGTGCTTGTATTACTAATACCACTGACATTGTTGAATATTTCAAAGGTAAATAAATCAGATTCAATATCTATTTGGTTACCCATATCTGCTGTTGTGGCAATATTTTTTCGATTATCTGCACATTCAGTTGATTCCATATACGTAAAGTTTTCTGTCCTCTCGGTTAATTCCACATCTTTTAGGTTTATTGTGTTTTCAGTTGTTTCGATGTTCTTTAGGTCTTTTGAACTTCCGGTTGATCCCACATCTTTGAGGTTATCTGCACTTTCCGTTGTTTCCAAATCTATTAGGCTATCTATAAATTTAGCTGATTCAATATCTTTTAGATTTATCGTGCCATCTGCTGCATCCATAACATTTAGGTCTTTTGTCTTTTCGGCTGATTCCGCATCTCTTAGGTTTTCGATACCTACCGTCGATTCCATATCTTTCGTGTTATTTCTGGCTTCAGCTGAATTGATATTCTTTACGCTTTTGGTGTCATCGGCTAAATCCACTTCCATTGCGTTATTTATGCCTTCCGCTGATTCGATATCTTTTAGCTTTTTTGTATCTTCGGCTGACTCCACTTCTTTTACGTTATCTCTGCCTTCACTTGATTCGATTTCTAGGGTTTCTGTGTTCTGGTCCAATTCAATATTTGTTAATTTATCTATGCTTGGCGTTGATTCCACGTCAGTTATTGTTTCTGTGCCTTCGGTCGATTTCAAATTTTTTGGGTTATCTAGGCTTGTCGATTCCATATCTTTCACCTTTTCTAAGCTTTCAATTTTTTCTATATCTCTCTGTTTATCTAAATCTTTAGTTGTACCTGTACCTTTTTCTTTCTTTGGAGGTTCGACATTTTTCGACTCTTCATTCATTATTGCCGTTAACTGGTTTTGCCGTTCTTCAGTGGTTTCACCTTGTGTAAGATTAGATTCATCGTAACCATTCATATTCGCATTATCGTTGTTACCGCTACCATCTTTAGTATTTGCACCGTCCATGTCGGTTGAAATCATATTTTTCACACTTTGTTCTTCAATACTCTTCGAATTATCAGTTGCCGCTGAAGCTTCTGTTTTTTCCATTTTGGCGCGTTTGTGAAATTCCTTTGCTTTTCGAATATATTCCGAAAGCGATTTCTGATACGAAAAGGAAAGTATCGGCATTGTAGCTGGATCAGTATATTTTCGTTTTCCTACCAGTGGCACTACTGGTATATTAACGGCCGTTTTGTTTGTGTTGATGTCCGTTGTTATGACCAAAACTTCTTTCCCTTTTGTAGTCACATTTTCTGATTCCTTGCTACTAAGTGTGTCATTACTATTGGAATCGTTTGTGTTCGAGTCATCGCGTTTATCGGGTATATATTTCATAGGCCAAGGGTTTTTCGGAATAAATTTAAAAATGCCGTTACTTTTAGTAGTTGTGTTTGATTTATTTGTAAATAAAACGCAATTACGGGATTTGCTTAACGGATGAATTGGCGTTTTAGTTGCCTTAATAGCTAGCGATTTGTGTGCCTGCGAAGCAATCGAAAGTGGAATATGCACTGAACGCATGACGGATTTTTTGTTTGATTTTGCCTTTTCCATAATATTATTAACGGCCAATGATTTAGTTGTATAAGCTGACGGAGCTAAAATTGGTATGATCTTAGTAGTTGCCTTTTCATTTTTTTCTGCTGCTAATTTTTCCATGCTAGCTTTTGATGTGGTATTACAGCTGGAACTTTCAATTTCTGTTACTGTTGTTTTTGTTGTAATTGATTTCAAATTTTCAATTTCTGCCGTTGTTATTGTAGCGGCAGAAAACATTCCTGAAGTAATTTCTGACGTCGTTGCTGTTGTTTCTGGAGTCTGTGCGACATCGCGGTCAATTTCCATTGGCTTTACCACAGAAATCATCAAGCTTTCGTTCAACTCTGTTGGCTTTGTTATAAAAACCGCTGCAGTTGGTTTCATTATTGTTGGACTTGTAGTTGGAGTCTGTACGGTATCGCGGTCAATTTCCAATGGCTTAACCACAGAAATCATCAAGCTTTCGTTCAACTCTGTTGGCTTTGTTATAGAAACCGCTGCAGTTGGTCTCATTATTGTTGGAGTCTCTGCGGCAGCGCGGTCAATTTCCATTGGCTTAATCAGGCTTTCGGTCAACTCCGTTGGCTTTGTTATAGAAACCGTTGCAGTTGGTTTCATTATTGTTGGACTTGTAGTTGGAGTCTGTTCGGTATCGCGGTCAATTTCCAATGGCTTTACCACAGATATCATCAGGCTTTCGTTCAACTCTGTTGGCTTTGTTAAAGAAACCGCTGCAGTTGGTCTCATAATTGTTGCACTTGTAGTTGGAGTCTGTACGGTATCGCGGTCAACTTCCAATGGCTTTACTACAGAAATCATCAAACTTTCGGTCAACCCCGTTGGCTTTGTTATAGAAACCGCTGCAGTTGGTCTCATTATTGTTGGACTTGTAGTTGTTGTATCATCAACTGACGCAGTTTTCGGGGCAGCAGGCGATGCATCTTCGTTGGAAATTTTTACTGCAACTTTAGGTTTAGAACGAAGCGCCGCCTCATTACTATTTGTTGCAAGTTGTTTCTTTATCGGGATATTAAGTAACGGTGGGAAATTAAGAAGAACGCTTTTATTTGTACATTTCATATTATTTGGTTTTAGAGATAGCGCACACCCAAATGGGCTATAATCGTCAGGTTCTTTGAGCACATCATATACTTTTTGTGTTGTCATATATTCCTTGTTTGTAAGTCGTGATTTACTCAGGCATGCGTTTGTAGTGATATGGGCTTTGCTAATCCAAGCGTTCTTTCCTGTCGCGGTGGGTGATGGCTTTATTCCACTGGTTTGGCCTATTGGAATATTAATTTCTTCAAATCTTAATAATTTGCCTTTTTCACTATGCACGGTTCCTTGCTTAGTTAACTTTGTATTGAATATGTTTGTTGTATTCGATATATCCTCACTCATTGTTATTTGTTTGCAAATTTTAGCTGTTTAAGTAAAATTTGTTTTTCGGTTTCATTAATTTTTAATGAATATGTTGTAAATAAACAAAACATATGGTTTAAGTAGTCGTTAGGTTGCCATATCAAAGCAGGAAAGCATATTAAGACAAAACTTGGCCGCACTGGAATAAAACAGAATCAATTTAATATTTATCGTCGAAGTCGCGCAACCACCACAAACCGCATTCTTCGTGATATTTCAGTAAGTAAAATAGATCGTTCTTAAATACTTAATTTTTATGCGCAGAACAGAGAATATTAAGTTTGCCACGAATTTTGTAACACCCAGATGGCAGCGTCGGAGAAACGTGATGATGATGAGCTGCGTCGGTTTAGTCCGGAACGTGAGTCTATCCATCTGTATATTCGCGAACTAGTCCCTCCTTTTATGCGTCATCGTTCTGAAATTTTGCACACGTCCTTTTGTACCCAAGGAGCTGCTCACTTGTTGGAATCGCCGATATCGTACCACTATAGCATATAGCTGCTATACAAACTAACCGATCAATATCTAGTTTTTGTATGTTCTTCTTGTCTTTTCTTGTTTTATTTTTTTTCCGCTTAACTGTACCGAATTTTTTTTTTCTAAATTTTATTTTAACTGTTATAAATATCCGCTATTTCACTATTACTCCGTTACACTATCGCAAATATGTGTATGTGTATGTATGTGTGAGTGTATTAGTTTAGTGAATCGCCTTAAGTGTATGTGTATGTGTGTACACCAAGCAATGTTTGTATGTAGTAGTGTGCAATTTTGCCTTAAAAAGTCCAATGAAGGGTTCTTAAGGGAAAACCAAAGACCAAAGGTTGCCATAAAACAACAACAACGACATGATAAAACAAGTCACACAACAACTTCGTGGCATTGCGTTGCAGGATAATAATATTAATTTATTATTATCAACGATAAAGTTAGGCAACTTTCAAGTTGAAATGAAGAAGCTGTTGCGGTTTACGCAAGTTTACAGTTAGGAGGCGATTTTTTTGGCAACTAACCAATTACGGTTGTGGGGCTACATACTCATATGTAGGCTTGGTTAGGCTTTAGAGTTTGCCGCTTTCAGTTTACATGCGCGTATCTCGGCGTTATTGTTGTTCTTGTATAGCGTAAAACATATGTACATATGTGTATGTGTTTGTTGGGATTTGGTTAGTGGTAAAATATCAGTTGTGTAAATTAGTTTGGGAACTTGGAGGCGGCCACTAGTTTGGCGGGTTCTTCTACTGCTGCGTAAGCAATTTTGTTTTCTTTTGCTGTTACTCGCTTGTTTAGAAGCTGATGGCTTGTGTTTTTGTTAATAAAACTAGCAGATTTACTCTGCGGTTTTGGTGTTACTCATTTAAATGTTGGGTACAAAGCAGTAACGAGACGAAGTAACCTTCCTTTTATGTATGTATGTAGATGTACAAGTATATATGTATTCGTATATACATATATACAGATTTATATTCTAAGAGGCTGCGAAAACTTTTTGAATTTATTTCAAAAACAGAACTCGGCAGTCTCAGACTTGTTGGAATTCTTGCATGATGAAGCAATATATACTCTTATGGATCCACCAAATTTTGAACGATATTTAGAAAACGAGTCATGTCGCTTTTTTTACGCAGTTATTCATTTCTAAGAATTCACATTATTCAGATTATCGTCGAAATGTTGTCGGGCAAACCTATAAAACTTGAACCAGAAAGCTCAATGAAAACCAACTTCAAGCTTTTCTGCGAGTGAGAAAAAACTTCTCCTGCACTCGCCGTTTAAACGATATAAAATCATTTGGACGTTCCGAAATCGTTATATTGAGCATAAATGGAGGCTAGATTAAGTATTGTAATGATTTTTATTAATTTTTAGCACCAGATCACATACATAATTTCTACAAGTTATCTCGCTATATGAGGGCTGTAGAAGCTATAGACAAATTACGAACATCTTTACATGAGAGTTGTCGCAGATTAGCGGCTATCAATGTTATGTAAGAGAAATCCCTTATTTTTACATTCTATAGAAGAGTTTAATTATCGATAACTTGTTGCCATTTCCAAGGTTATTTCATATTAAAGCTCCGCTTCAGAACTGTTTCGAAATTTTGATTCAGCATCGATTCGCAGATGAAAATTCGATTTATGCGCGTTTTTGCGTTAACTCGTTTGGCAGCCCTCATACAGCGAGCTTTGGTTTTGTATCCAGCCATATTTAAACTGTTTCGAACGGTTTGTTGTGCCACACTGCAGCTTCTGAGCAGTCAAAACAAAACTCAAAACAGTATTTTCTTAACGGTTGCACTTGACGATTTCCATTAATTTATCGATATTTTCGATATATTTTCTCATGACAATCGAATTTGCGTAATCGTTACGGACCTGTATTTATATACGACCAAAAAGCGTTCCTCAAAAACATTTTGAGAATATTAGCTGCCGCTACTACTGCCAACTTATGGTTTCCATTGCTTCAAGCCTAGATTTGGGAAACTTATATACCACATATACAGAGTTTAAGTACTTTTGCGAAAAGTCTTGTGATTACTTGGAAAAAGTTCGTACTCGTAACGCAGAAATCTTAATTAGTTATAATATGGAATTAATACTGATCACATATTTTTGGTGCCATAACTGAATGTTAACTCAGTGACCTACTGAATAACACTCAGCGGAGGCCAACACAAACCACACAAGCAAAAGTGCACAGAACTGCAGCTTTCACGTAAATCGGTGGGCACTTATACCTATATATGTTGCATGTAAAGGTTAAAAAAGTTAACGGTACGTAACGAAGTTTGACTTCACACCACTGCTTGCACGAACGCTTGAAAATTTCGCATTTTCCTTGAAATTTAATGCAACAAACTTATGAATAGGTGATCGGGGTCATAAATAGGTGCGAGTGCGTCGCACTTACTGCCAAACTTTCAGCCATGAATTTCTCAGCAACGCTTTTTATGCGCTAACCTACAGTACACAAGTACAAGTATATAGCGACAGTCTACTACTAGCCGCGCCGCGCATGTGAGCGCTAATGTAACTAATAAATTCTCCAAATTGCATTTGACATACGCGTTGGGTGTCATAATTCAGGCTTCACTTGCCGCTTCATGACCCGAGCGCGACTTATGGCTATATGTTGAGAATTTATATGACACATGACTTATACACACACACACACATAAATATATATACTCGTATCAACATATGGTATGTGTGCTTTCTCAGTGCAAATTATGCTGTTGCTTTGAATGAGTGAACACAGTAAAAAACAACAGTTAGAAGTTGCACACGCATACTTGCATAAACATACACACAGAGTCGTATTTACAGACGCATACGTGAGGCACCCATTTGCGCGCGAAAATTTATGACAAACTACATTAATGTGAGCGCGCAGTGGGAGCCCGGCAGAGTCCTCAATGAATGAGCATGTGTTGAAGTGTTATGCTGGAAAGGCTATAAAAATATTGTTAAAAAATTTATTATCAAATAAAACAATAATATATTGCATAGCGTTCGTAAAATTGAGCATGCAAGCAAAATGTACAGGTTTATAACTAACCATGTGGCCTAAAGGAGCGTTGCTGAGAAAAATGCCAACAATACTAACCTTAGTATTATATAATATATGCAGGTTAATGTTGGTGTTTTATGATAGAAATACCTATGGTACTGTTTATTGCCCAAACGTAATGCAAAAATAGCTGAGCGTGTGTTTAAGTAGATTCTTGTTAACCGTTAAACTTTCTTTGTTGTGTTTTTATATTAGAAGCAATCGCAAGTGGTATAAAATCTGGAAAATACAACTTTGTTAGATGTTTCTACAGTAATTTTAGCAAAATGTGAAATTTTTCGTTATAAATAACCTTCAAGTCAAATTTAGGTTACTAACAAATATCTTTTATGCAAATCTTTCATCTTTTGATTGAGATAAACGATCAGTGTGTGTGTCATCTACATATATATATACTATAGTGGTTCGATTTGCATAATATATTTGCAGTTTGTAGCGCTGGCTTGGACACACTTAGATCATTGCTTTTTTCTACTTTGAATATTATTAGAAGCCTATCGTTTTGCCCATCTCATAACTTCTGTATCCCAGTCTTCAAGATTTCCGGCTCATAGCACAGCCTTTCCATTCTTCGAATCAATTTCGTCGCGAGAAGTCTATGAGATCGACTGTGCCTTGCTGCATGCTGCGTACCGTTAAACCCATATTTTGTTCGACGAAACGCCCCTTGTGATGACGCACTGCTATGATGTGGTCTTACGTTTGCGCTTGTTATCTGGAGTGAACAGGCTGCAAGTTACTCATCTTGCCAACAGTTTTCTCGTACTCAATATTTTATTTAGGCTATGACTCACGCGGTTTTAAAGATGCCTACTTTCTCAGCTAACTAAACGGTTGTCTGAAATCGTTGATTTTTGGCACGTAATTCTTCGTGTTAGACTTTTTCAGTGCACTTTGGCGTGACTAATCAAAAACCGATCACTTTAAAACTACATAAAGCCATTTCTCACAGTCGAAAGAGTAGAGTTTCCTTATATAAAATACATATGTACAACCCAGCGCTCTATGATTTCATCTCGAGATCTACTTTTTTAAAATAGTAATCGAAACTCCGACCGATATTGCTCTTTTCCCATTTTTCCGAAATCCGCGGACACATGCACTTCTACAACTGTGAGTAGCGACGCTATCGGGCGCTGAGGCTAAGTACTTATTGCGCCGTTCTCGGGGTATTTTTCAAGTATTTTTAAGATTGTATTTATATTAAATGGTAAGGTATCTATAAAATATTGATTCTAAGTTTCAGTTGGGAACCTCGCTACTATTATTATGTAGCTCAATAAAGCTTGCCGTTAAAAAAATTTAAAACACTGAAGACCTTATATTATATCAATATATGTCATTACCATTCACTTACAATTTCTTACACCGTAGCGCTTTAAAAAATATGTACACTGGTGTGTAAATATTCGATATTTATGTGATATCGTATTATTGGCTTAGCGTCTTCGGCATCAATTTAACTGTCACAGTCTATTAATTTTATTAGTATTACTATTGGAGCAAAGTAAAAAAGAAAAA